TTCACAGCAGATCACAGCATGGGCAAGAGTTTAATCAGAGCCATGAGCTGCAGCGATGGGGCTGCCCACCTCCATCCTGTGGCCACAATGGCATCCCTGCTGCTGCCACTGCCCACCTGCCCCAGCAGCTGGAAATTAAAACTGCAACCGCGCTCCTCCCTCCCATCGAAGAGCTGGGTGCTGGTTCATGCGCTGGTTACGCCTGCCCACACATAGCAAAGCGCTGCAAGGAGAGCTCAGGTCACCACAACTCTGGTTTCCCATGTAAGTTGTTGATATAGGTATCAGCCCTTGGAGGGTGCGAGAAAACCAGATTTTATGGAAAAATAATTCTTCTGCTGTGTAGTGAGTTTTAACCCAGTTGATGCTTAACAGCAAGTGAGGGGCTTGGTTTTATCCTTGACTTTTTGAAGGCCTCACTAGGAATTTCAAAAGAAACATCCTGAAGTGTATGCTCGAGCCAACGGCAGTCTCTGAAAGCTGGAGAACGCCTGGGAGGCCGTTTCTCCCAGGGCTTTGCAAACAAAGTCTGGCTTTGGGGCAATTCTGTGTGCAAAGCGGTAGGCAGAGGTCAGTTACAGGGAGTGGACTGCTTGGCTTTGCTGAAAGGTCAGCACCCAAGCAGTGCTGCAGAGGGTAGGCGAGATTCTCCTCTCACCTCCACAAGCATCCCAGAGGGTACGTGCAAAGCACTGGGGTTAGCCTTGTGTCCTCACGTAGTCCAAGATATCCAGCATCTCTCTCACACTCGTCATGAAGATTCTCACTGTCATTATTCTTAATGTGCTTTACTCACTCTCTTCACACAGCAGGTAAATGCATGAATGCTTCCCAGCTATGGGTGATCAAAACTCATAGCCAAGCTGGGGCTACCCTACAATTATCGAAAACCTGTTGTTACACGATGCAAGAGCCATCAGCCAGCTATCCACGTTCATCAGAGGTGCAAGGTACACATTGCTTAATCCTATTGTAGCATTACTAAGAATTTCCGTGGCCTTCATGCTGTTGCCCAAAGACACCAGAAGAACAAGCCTTCTTTCTGGGCAGCCTGTCCTGAAAAGATCCTGACCTGCACACACATATCACTGCAAAGTACTTGGAAGATGAGGTATCCACCTTTAAACCCGTGCTGCTGGCAGCATAAGGCTGGCAGAGCCACGCAGATGCCTCTCCAGAGTTAAGGTGATGCTGTAGATGAGGGGGAGAAGGGAGGCCAAGACAGGAGTGGGGGAAGCTGGAATTGGATCAAATGAAAGGGCTCCCGGGGCTGCACCCGCCTGGAAACACTTAGCTGGAACCATCCTCCTTTTCTGGTTCACCTCCACCTCTGAGGGAGAGGAGTCAACCGTCCCCAAAGGGCAGCACAGAGGCAGTAACGACATGAGCATTTAGGAAGGGATTATCTGAATCACTACAGAGGACAAGTGCTGACCTCTAGTTAAACAAACACATCCTCAACACACAGTCTAGGCAGCCTCTTCCCTGCAAGATGAGACAGATTCAGGACTAAACACACGAAATTGGTCTCTTTATCAGGTTCTGGCTCTTTTCAGAGATTCTCCTTATTTGGGCCAAAGGAGCACATCTATGCTGAACCCTACCTGAGCACCATCGCTGGTTACAGGAAGAGCAGAAGAGGCCTGGGGACCAGCTATATCTTGGGCTGCCTTTTACACACTGACATCATCCACATCTCAAATAAAACTTGGCATCACTGAAAAAAGACCCTTCCTTTTCTCACATTAGGGATTTTATAGCTCAGCTGAGCTATACAACTCCTGTATATTATAAACGCAGTCCCCCTCCCAGCAGAACACCCCAATTGCTCTCTGCCATAGCTTGCACAGCTTCCCTTGTCTGTCACAGCCAAACCCTTTCTCCACTCAGACTACACATTTCAGTCTGGATGCCAGTTTTCCCCTCTAAGGTGATCAGAGAGAGGATTTTCCCGTTTTTCCACTGTAACAGTAAAGGGAAGTAACTTCTAGGGCAGACAAAAAGATAAGGGCTTCACTGAGTCTATGCAGCTAAACATGAATGCTTTAGGTGATTTCCTAACCCCGTTGGAGGGCTGCATAATTGCTCAGTGACACAGCATTATGTCCACACAGTAGCATTCGGGCCAGGGGTTAAGAAACCACACGTTCACTCTGGATGTGGATTACTGGCATGGGCTGGGGGTGGTTGTTCTTCTTATGACTACCTAAGCCACGATAAGAGACCATCTTTCCATGAGAGTTCACATGGTGTTTGCTTTCATCAGCACCCGTTATGCAGAGCAGTGCCTTCAAGACCTCACCAGCAAGCTAACCCTAACAGATGTGACCTGAAGACCTCTCTGAAGGGTCCCAAAGCACTTCAAAGTGTCTGGCAGCCACTTGTCCACAGTAAGCCTTTGTAGTGTTTATGAACATCAGTACTGAGTACTTAAACCCTGGGAAACAGGAGTCCGCAGTATGTCAGGAGAAAAAACATTTCAGTCTAAACAAGACTTAAGTACTTACCATACTGGTGATACGCTGGCAGAAGCTCCCTAGGCCTACAAGGAGGAAGGCTTATTTGTTCCAGCATATCAGTCTTCCTTCTTTTAGGTCTAAAAACTATCCCATGGGCTTAATCTTAGGCTCATTGCTGTATCTGTTCATCCTCTAGAATGATAGGAGACAACAGGGAATATAATCTGTCAAACTACACAAACATGCCTGGGAGGTTACCGAATGCTCACAAGTCACATATCTTTTCTCTCAAATAGCTCTTACTTTCGGATCAGATTTGCAGTAAGTGAATCCTGCACACAGCACAAAAAGGAGCTTAGCATTTAAACAGTTCTGCATCCACACTCATTGCATCCTACTTTAGGGATGGACTGGAGCAAGGGGGAAGACAACTCAGAAAATAGGATAGGGTTTTCCTGGAGAAATCAAGCAAGTAAAATTATCTTTAAAAGTTCAGTATGATATAACACAGTTAACAACGGTATTTCCCAGCCAACTACACTATTTCAGAAGTGGGATGTGCACATTTTTGGCCAGAGTCCTGATGTGAACTTTATCTGTCAACACGCTATGTTGACAGAAAGTCTAAGTAGATTCCTCTTCCTCCCCCTGAAATCCAAAGTGTTCCAACCAGAGATTGTGGCTTTGGCTCATCATCAGCTCTTCTTCACATCTGTGAGGCTATCATACATTGAATGCTTTGTTATAAAGCAAAACTCTTTTATTTCCTAAGTTTACGTTGTGCTGAGAGATTTTACTAAGAAAACTAGAGGTCAACAATGAAATATTCTGAACAGCCAGCCAACAACCACAACATTCATGGCAAGCGAAGGAGTGCTGTGAGAGATTAGAGAGCAGCCTATCCTGTGCTAGGTCATTAAAGCTTTTAGGAAAAAAAAAAAAGAATCTTGCAATTCCTATAGCTACCTGCTATAACTGTTGACACAAAGCTTATTAACAAGAGCGGACGCTCCTCTCATTTCAGTACCATTAACAACTGGAGCTCAACAAGCCTCTGCCTGGGCAATGGAAGATCTCTCTCTTCAACAAGTTGTGCAAGTTTAACAAAAAAATTAGAACTTTAGTGAATACATGTACTTACATGCTGCATTTAAATGACTAAAAGCAATAACCATTAAGTTCATAAATTCCTCGCATGTAAAATTCAGGGGCACATGAACATATATTGCTAAGTCACATTCCTTTATTACTAATACAGTAAATTGATGTCATCTGTTATACCCAAGATGTAAAACCCTCTGTTCCACGAGTCTTTCCTAGGAGGACAGCAGATGCATCGCTTGTCATCCTGCCTGACAGTTCTTTTAAGCATCACCTCATTCTAGCTTGTTCAGGCTTTACACAACACAGGGCAATGGAGAAGTACAAAGGAAACCAATGCTTGTCGTATGGCAGCCATGACTGCAACTGGATGCTTCAGTGTCAGTGAAATTTCTTTGACTCTCTCAAGCCAGTTTCATATGTTGTTATATTAACAATTGCCCAAACTAGACTTTAAGCAGCAACTTACGGTTGCAAAACCATTACCATTTTTGGCTTTAAGTTCACCTGCAGTCATCCATGTTCCCATGAAGTCATACCCATACCAGAAAAGCCCAGTGAGAGATCTGAACTCAATCCACCCCACACAGCAGCATATCGATACCAGTCTGCTACTAACAGCAAGTTTCTGCATTTCTGGAACATTTGCCTTTTTCTCCACAACCTTTCTTTTTTTTTTTGCAATTAACTGACATTTCTTCTGAGTTATAATTCAGAAATGGGATTTCCTTTCTATTGTGGACAACATTGTCCTCCATTCCTCCATGTGTTGGCTTGTGGCCATTACACACATGCTAACAGAGCAAAACAGCAAAGGAGAATCTGAATTCTTGTGTTCAAAGTGCATGGTTATTCCCAGCCTGTCAGAAGAACAAAACAAAACTCTGCTCCAGTGTACAAAAGTAAAATTTGCTTGCAAGCCATCCTACTGACTTCAGTAGGTGTTGAGCTCCGCCAGATCAGGTGTTGCTGCAGAAAAGATGCAGTGTTTCTTCAGCAGAGATGTCTACTTTTAGAATCAAGAATTGTCAAGACTGTTGAAAGTCTTGAAAGGCTTCAGATTTTTGTAACTGCTTGCATCAAAAATAGATAGTACCCCGCAAGAGAAAAGTTAACATCACAGGGAAAGGCTTCCCCTAAGTGTAACAATACTGAGACCACAGGGGCCATTGGCCCAAAATGTGCAGCCTGCCTGCTCCCAGGGCACGTTATATTTTCAATACACAAATTAAACCTTTCCAGCTTCAGTAGAAGGTGCAACAGTTGTGTCACACGCTGGAGCCTTAAATAAAACACTGTCCAAAACCATGATGTATTTTCTACAGAAAAAAGGTAACAAAGCAAGAAGCCCTCAACAAAGGAAAAAGTAAAGGTCCTCTGCTCCCTAAAACCAAGCACTGATATACCTATTAAGGACACAGAACAGAGAATCACTTTATGGAAAGAACATTTATTTTTGTTTCAAAACTTGTGATCCATAGAAATACAATAAAATCAACATGTACACAAAACTTTAAAAAAACCAACTTTGGTTCAAAGTAATATTTAACATCTAAATCTTCTGAGGTACAAAAGGCACAAGACCAGGCACCCAAACATACTGCATCGCCCACAGCACTGTTTGCACCACTAGTACAGAGAAAGCTGGGAGGACAGAAGGCAGGTCAGAGGAGGATGGCAGGGGCAGGGGGAACCTGGAAATAACAGCAACCAAAACACAAGTATGTGTACAAGGCCATTTACTTTCTTTCACAGGTGTTACATATTTTGTTGTCCTTTTTTGCTAAAGTGCCAGGACTCTTGGAAAAAAAGATGGATCATTTCTTAGAAATGAACTGGAACAAACAACAGTAGAAAAGGAGACAGAGAAACAAAGGTCTGCAGCAGGTTGGGTTTCAGTCAACTTCTGTTCTCCCACACGGTCTTAAGAATTCATTTCCTCTTTCATGAAACCATTTGTTTGAAACTGTGGAACAACGATGTGAAATTAGTTACTGCCATGTACCACCCAGGGCGTGTATCACCGCAATCTAGACAGTTACTTCAAGTAAAATCTCATCTTTCAGTCTGAGGATCCCTGCTTATACTTCTCTACCCATCCAACGGGAAAGACACGTGAAGATGTAAAAGGCAGGGGAAGAAAGGATCTTTCCAATTGCACAATTCTGGGGCCAACAGTAATACAACAGTGTATTCTGGGTCTGCTATCATTTAAGGACCAGTATGCTCTGGCAGTCCAGGGGAATACCTTGGAGGCTGGGGGAGGTGGGTATGGGAATGGATTACATGAACCTTGAGAAGCTTTCAGCAGTTATCAGAAATTCCCTGTGTCCAGACATTCACATTTACCTTACAAGGAGCTCTCCTCCTTTTGCAGGTGAGACTACGCACAGATCTTCATAGGAAGAGACTTGATTCTAGTGAAGTGATAGTTCAAGTCACCCTGATGCTGATACACTATACAAACCCAGTGACATTCTTACACACTTTGTGCTGTCATTGACACAAAACAAACTCACTAGAAAAAGCTACGGCTGAACAGTGTAGCTGCTTAATACTACATGATATTGATGGTGGGAGTTTTCATTATGGCCAAATGACTCCAGTAGTTAAAGTGGCAACACCCAGGTTATTAACTGGTGTTGCAAGGGTTCAGTATATCACCAGCTTTGCAAACACACGAGCCTTCCTTCAGGTTTTGTTCTTAAAGGAGTATTACTTACCCCATTTACAGCCTACTAGCACTGGACAAGCTGCATGCCTTGTTCTATAATCACCCTCGCCACTTCTGAAAAGATTGTACCAAAACACTGCTGTTCCCTGAAAAGTGAAATCAGACCTGGATTAGTCAGACCCTAGTCAATATAATTATTCAGGTTACAGTAAGAGTGGGAAAATGCCTATGAATTCAGCTGCAGGCTCCTATGGAGCACTTTAACATAGGCCACCACTGACAATACATAATAGAGTGGGACTATGGAGTTTTTTAATTCAGCCATGTTCAGAGCAGAGAGGAGCTCTACCTGAACACAAGGGTTTTTGTTAGTAACAGCACAGTACACATTGCAAAACAAAGGAAGCAGCCCTGCAGTCTACAAGATCAGCTCCAGCCCCCCTGATACACAGCAGCCTGTCCATCAAGTTGCAATGAACAGCACTTTGTCACATTAGCTGACTTTTAAACGGATGCAGGACTGTACTGAGGAAGAGACAGAGGAGAGAGGAGAAATAATGCAACACAAACAGACTTTACCTTCTTGGGCCATATTGCTGCCCCAAAATCGGGGAAAACTGTAGCTCCTCCAGCTTCTACATCACTCATCTGAGAAAACAAAGTCCGCAAACTCTATTTACAATGCTTTTTGTACATACAGCCCCACAAGCTAAAGTGCCCCAGGCCCTAACAGGGAGAGATTTCTACTTGCACCTCTATGAGAGGCACTGATGAGGAAAGGATGCACTTCAAACAGCATGCACTGCTAAAGTAACAGTACCTGCTATTGAAGGCTTTTATTTCAGCTGAAGGCTTTTGTTCAGCACTTCATCTAGCTTATATATATTCTATAGCACAAACAATTAGCCATAAGAAGTTGTGTACCTGCAGTGTTAATAAGCTAGTACTCTACAACAAGGGAGAGGACTTCAGAGTCAGTCAGTTTCAAGAATTTCATTCCAGTTTATGATCCAATTAGGAAAACAAGTAAGTGTCTGTTAAACCACATGTTTCCTCAAAATGAAACCATGTCTTTGGAAGAGATTTTCATAATTTAGTTTATGCATCTTGGTCAACCACTTCAAAAACTATACAAACTACTAAAAAAAACTCACTTTCTGCACTGTTTCTATGCTGTTGAGCAGTGATATTATGCTACTTCAAGTGCTTTATGCATCTCAAACTTTAATACATACAGCTATGTGACTCTACAGAGGAGCATACATCTTCATGCTTTGCCCTTCTACACTGGAATGAGTTTAACCCTATTGAATTCATCACTAATGATGGATTCACTACAAATTCTAGACTTGATCCAAAACCCACCAAAGTTCCTGGAAATATTCCCATTAAAAATGGAAAGTCTTTCCACCGATTTCAGTAAGTTTTTGATCAGATTCTAATTAAAAGAAACAAATGAGTCAGATCCAGATCCCACCAAATTTAAACAGCAGAACTACTATTAATCACTCCCCAAGTCCCCACACTCTCTATTGTAACTTGGATTTCTGTTTAAAGCAGATGTTATTACCACTCTGGTGTCCTCCTGCTTGGTACCTACAATAAAAGGGCATAAGATGCCATAGGTGCACAGGTTTTTGCCCCTTCCAACTAGAAAGCATGTGCATGCAACTTTGCAAGTTAATACCTACGTCTTAGCAAGACAACCACTCTTTTTAGTAAGGGAGTTGGTACATGTATGCTATGTTCTACGTGGGACATATATGGGTAAATTGCCTTTGACCATGTACAACTGGCAGAGAATAAGGTACACATCATTCACTCTAAATCAAGGCTTGTCCAAAAATCTGAGAAACGAACAAAATACAGACTGAGACAATTTAAAAATTAAAGCTTCTTTACAGCAGACTATTTCACAGCTACCTATCTTATTCTGATTCTTGTTTCGGAGATTATTTCCTCCCCCCACCATATCAAATTGAAAGTACTTCTGGTTCTGTTTTAAGCTGTGTTTCACACTCAAAATACCAGCTCAGCCATACGTATTTCACAAAATTTTAAATCTGAAGTTGTATCACTCTAAAGTTAGACACAGAAGATTAGGTGATCCTAATTACTGATATAGTAAGTATAGGTTGATAGATAAGATAGTCAGAAGACTACTGTGAAAACATGAGGCCACTAGTATCAGTGGCAGTTATGTTTACAATTCCAGTGTACATGGTCTGTAGGCTGTATAATGCATGCAACTAATGAATCTTCTCAATTCTGTATTTGTAACCCAACTGCACCAAGTTTATTAGCTACATCTCCTCCATTTGCTGAAGCAACAGCTATGCCAGAATAACTCTAGCTTTGACAAACAGCTAAAATGGAGGCTGACAGACCACAACATCAAGTGCTGTCAAACAGTGGAGGAAGAACATGACTGTCTCACAGCAAGTGGCTGATAGTCAGGTTCTCAAACAGCATACCACATGGACACCGCAAGCACTCGCCCTTGAGAAATAAGCCAAATTCTCCTCTCCCACCAACAGGAATCCAATGAAGTCAAAGATTTCATAGTAGAATGGCCAAAAGGGGAAGCTGGGCCCTATATTCAAATTTTCTGCTCTGAGGTTAAATACCACCAGAATTCTATCAACTCAGATGGGACAGCACCTGATGTTGCCAGAACAATGAAATCCCTACTTCCATACTTCCAGATGCCAGGGAGTCTCTACAAATAACCCACTGCACAAGCTGTAAACAAGATGCTGATAAAGTTACACTCAATGCATAAAGGATCATCATACTTACATAGTTTAAAAAAGTGGCCACACGATTTCCAGTCCCTAACCGCTTGAAAGCATCTGGCTCATCTTTCTATAAAATTAAATGAGAATAACTGCAAACTTCAAGCTCACAGACAGCGGACAAACAGAGGTACTTACATAGTTAAGAAACGTCGCTAGCCTATTTCCTTCCGATTTGAGTGTGCTGTCAAAGGGTCGCTGTAACAGACAACAACTTTAACCCAAGTTCCAAACAGGCTCACACTAGAGTTACATATGTGTAGCTCTGCAGAGAGATCCTTAAGCCCAATTTAAAGAGTTGGAATAGAAAGGGGACAATTGATACAGGGCAACATTGAAGCCATTACAAGTTACAGCCAGGGTGCATAACTGCATGCATATAGCACTCAGACGCTCTAAGGCGAGGTAGCACTGAAGCAGTTCTTAGGACAGAGTAGAAGCAATGTTTTCAGGGCCTGTGGCACAGTTATTATCCAAGTAAAGTTAACAAAAGGCCATCACTGTAATGGACATTGATCCAAAGTCAACAACTGAAGTGAATATGAAAAACCCATCTTCAGTGGGCTTTAGATAACACACTAGACTCTCATAAACGTAGTAGTGAACTCGAAGAAATACTGTCATGAGAAGAGAAAATGCATTTTTTGCCAGCAGGCAAAATTGCAGAATAGCAATAATGAACTAGTTTCAGGCAGTTGCCTATCTAGGACTAAGGACCACATCAAAAAGATCAAGTTGCCTTTACTCTGTAGGAAACATTGAGTAGTGGCAGGAAACATTTGTTGAAGTAAGAGATCACGTTGGTGCCAGTTTAGAAGAGGAAAGAACATCTAGAATACCAATGTTTCTTTCCTCCCTTCAAAAAAATGCAGTTAAAAGTTTATTTACGTTGCTAATAGTCAGGAAGTACTTTCACCCAGGAGACATTAAGGTGCACTCTTTACACAAAACCAGTAATCTTTAACATTTAAAGAAAAGAAGAAATCAGTGTTAAAACCAGACAAACAGCAAGGAAAACCACAGCTACCATCTCCAAGATGTTATAGTTCAATGTACTTGAAGTATACTTCAAGAAATAAAAGGTCTTTCCTCAAATGGGTTCATAAAAAAAAAGACAAGACTCTTGCATCTGCATATGCAAATTCAATCCAAAAGAGCCAACTTAAGAGCAGTGAGCTATAGGGGATTCCCTGGTTCCCATCACCGCTGCCAAATCCAGGTCCAGCCATGCATTTCTGAACTTTAACAGCAAAAGATTTCTCTAACTTTTGAGCAACCAGTAAAATCTCAAAGTTGTAATATGCAACTATTAAAGTGTCCCTATTTGAGAATTGCAAGGGAACAAAAAGTTGCAAGGCTGATCAGGAGATAGGGAGACACAGCAGTACCTCTGTATTTCAGTACTGAAAAATCTGTGATGCACAGAGAGCCTGGAGGACCAGTCCAAAACTATGGCAAATTCTGCAATTGCCTTGCCTCAACCGATGACTGCAGCCAAGGTTACTTTCCAAGTGGAGCTCTGCCCCAGCTGCCTAATCCAAAAGTAAAGTCCACACTGGCCAATTTGATGGCTGATGTCCTTGAGTTCAAAGGCTTTGAAGAGAATTTAAGACCATTTGCTTGACTCAGGAAACGAAGCAGTCTTAAAGTTAACAGGAAAATTCTCTCAACAGGCCAAAGCTAACGAATATGAGCTTCTACAGTGTTGAAGTTCAGGGGTTTTTTATTTTTTTTTTTTTAAACTAGCACTATGTTGGGTGGCTTCAATTCTGCACTTAATTATTGGGTTGTACTCTGGCCACAGCAATCCCTTCTACCAGGTAAAACCACTGGGACAGCCTGAATTACACCAGATTCCATGGTTCCACTGGAAAGCAAGGCATCAGATGGATTTGAAATTACCAGTCACCATAGCTCTTCAGTATGATTAGCACGTTCATAAACTGTTTTAAGGTAACAATTAAAAATCCGTTCCTCTCTTCTCCCCACTTGCAGCAAGCCAGAGCTGTTACCTGCCAGGCAGAGCCCTCTAGTGCCAAGCCAGCAGCCCCCAGCTGCAAGTTCTGCTCCTCGTAGCGCTGCCCTCCTGAACACCGACCCAACAAACTTCTTCGGTCCCTATAGCTGCAGCCACACGGAGGCTTTTGCCAGAAGGGCTGTATGACACATGAAGATTTCCATAACGGTTAAGTTTTTTTTGGAGGGAGGTGGAAGGATGTCTCCTCCTCAGCCAGCTCCTGCGAAGGGCTTTAAAATATCCACCAAAGGAGGACTCGAACAACTTTGCTGAACTCAGAAGCCTAATGGAACTAAGCAGACTCACAACCCAGGGCTTGCAGACCTCAGTTTCCAAATAAAGTAATGGAAAAAGCATATTTGAGTGCTGCATGACTATCTTTTAGTATCTCTATACTGTGCAAGGAACCAAGGTGACAAAGATAAGCAGCAGATTTGTTCATCTTCTCTTGAACTTTCAGCATCAGAGAAGGCAGTGCAAAGGCTTTTGAAAAGTCATAATCCATCCATGCAATAGGGCTATACATTAAGTGTTTTTAACAGAAAATAGTTTCAACAGTTTTCTCTCAGAATGAATGGTTCCACCCTCCCCACCCACTAAGAAATAATTGAAAGTGTGATCTTACCCTAGAAAAATCAAAGTGTGGTTCATACTGTCCTCCCATTCCATAGTTGGCAACCTACAGCGTGGAAGAAGGAAGCATAAACATTATTGAACTGCAAGTGACTGCTGCAGAAGATAGCATTTGCTCTCAGAAATCCAGTGCTTTGAGAAACAGCACTTTGTGGCAAGATTGTTATCTGCAGCACACTTAGTTTCTCTCTAGATTGCTAGAAATGATGTATGCAGATGAGAAACAACTTAAGTGCTCTTTCAGTTTAAGGGTTTCACTGGGAGTATCTCTCTGTACCAAATGTTTCTCAATGGCAGCACTCTACTTATCACTACAACTGCATGTTTAACACGAATTAGCAGCAATAGTTTTACCAGACTCTTGTTCCCTCCTCTGAAGAGAAGGGAGTCAAGTGCATGTAGTTCTCTAGTATGTGTCCAAACTAGGAGACAGACTTTGTCACACATGTATGATTCGTTACATACACATACCCATCCAGGGACACAGAAGACTCAAAGTAGCTTAAAAGCACCACTTTGCTTACTTTATCTGAAGATCATATAACATATGATTTAGTTACTCTGAGGTTGCCCTTAACACGTCCCCCAGATCACTACACAATTACCCAGTGATTGTGGATAGCCAGTAATCAACAGTACTTCCATTAGGCTCTAAAACAGGAATTCAAGGAGCATGGAGGAAGAGCAGCAGTAAACAAGGTACAGCTATTCTGGCAGTGTTGTACCACCTTTACTCTCCTTCCTCTCCCCAGCAGACAGCCAAAGATCAGAATTCATATGAGAATGTAGCAGGACTAGGAAAAACATTTGGGTCTTTGAAAGGTTCAACTAGGAAGGAGGTTCAACTTTTGCAGACTCGAAAAGAAGTGGCAGACATTTCCCTCAGAACAAACTGGTAAATCACAGGTGTTCTTGCACAAAGTTATCTTCTGTTTCTTTGATATCTCCACCCTTCTCCACCTGGCACACAGAGAAAACACGTACCTGCCAGGTCCTTACAGTTAGCAGCAACCAGGAACACTCACACTCTTCATAAACACCTTGCTTACCTACTCTGTGTGTGCAGTCAGCAGACAACAGCACCCCAAAGAGGGACCGAGTAAGAGCCAGTCGACGTTCATCTGCATAAGCACCAGACCACCCTGACCAGCAGCTAATTTTGCCAGGATGAAGTCTGACAAGACAAGTGTACCAACCTGCAATAGTTCAGCTGTTTTCACTGTTAACCCTGTGATCTGTTGCATTCGTTGATTCACTTTGGCTACAACAGGATCATCATCTTCCTCCAACCATGAGCTAGGATAAGGGAAGGATTGAAACACGTTATTTTGGAATACCAACCACAACAACGCATTTCCCAGTCAGATGGCTAAAACAGCCATTTCACCATGCATTTGTTGTGCAAGCTTTTGCTACATGCAAAGTAGTTCAAATTTTCAGCTGCAGGTAGCAGATGACAGCTGTTAAGCACAAAAGCCTGAAAGTTAAACTCTTCTCTGTGCTTACCTTTTTGATACCCTGTAGCTAGCCACTGTAAGGACACCGGTTTTGGGATCACGTACTGTGGCTCGTGCCAGCTGTGTCAAAAAAATCCCAAGGGGGAAGAAACACATCAACTACATGTTAGAAAATTTTTCTCTCTCATCTTAACCAAAATCATCACATGATTTGTCCAACTTCAATATATCACTGGATGAAAGTTATAGCTCCAACCTAGAGGTTGTTCTGATTTCATGCTAGAACAGTACATGCAGAAACGCAAGTGCAATCCATCACCTGCATTTGATCCTGGAAGGAGAATCCGAATGACTGCACAAGCCATGATATTCATTAAATCCATGAGTACTGCTTGCCAAACAGGTTTTGCAGGTATTTTTTAAACAGCTGGACTCAATATTCGCAAGAGGCAACAACAAAA